AATGTGTTGTTTAGTGTTGTGTTGTGTAGTGGCTTTGCTGGCATGCATTTTTTTTGGGGGGGGAGTTTGCCCCACCAAGATTTACATGCTAAAATCACCACTGGTGCTACCACACCTGATTCTACTACTCAGCTGTTCATCAAGACCTCAGTTGTTCATCGAGACCATGAATAGTAGAATCAGGTGTGGTAGAACTGAGATTGAACAAAAAAGCCTACATACAGCGCATTCGGAAAGTATTCAGACCCCTTCACTTTTTCCACATTTTGTTACGTTACAGCCTTATTCTAAAATGTATTAAATAAATAAAATCCTCATCAATCTACACACAATACCCCATAATGACAAAGTGAAAACAGGTTTTTAGAAATGTTAGCACATTTATTAAAAATTAAAAACAGAAATAACTTATTTACATAAGTGTGCAGACATATAAGACTCGAAATTGAGCTCAGGTGCATCCTGTTTCCATTGATCATCCTTGAGATGTTTCTACAACTTGATTGGAGTCAACCTGTGGTAAATTCAATTGATTGGACATGATTTGGAAAGGCACACACCTGTCTATATAAGGTCCCATAGTTGACAGTGCATGTCAGAGCAAAAACCAAGCCATGAGGTTGAAGGAATTGTCTGTAGAGCTCCGAGACAGGATTGTGTCGAGTCACAGATCTGGGGAAGGGTACCAAAAAATGTCTGCAATATTGAAGGTCCCCAAGAACACAGTGGCCTCCATCATTCTTAAATGGAAGAAGTTTGAACCACCAAGACTCTTCCTAGAGCTGGCCGCCCGGCCAAACTGTGCAATCAGGGGAGAAGGTCCCTGGTCAGGGAGGTGACCAAGAACCCGATGGTCACTCTGACAGAGCTCTAGAGATCCTCTGTGGAGATGGGAGAACCTTCCAGCACTCCAGCTATCAGGCCTTTATGGTAGAGTGGCCAGACGGAAGCCACTCCTCAGGAAAGGGCACATGACAGCCCGCTTGTAGTTTTCCAAAAGGCACCTAAAGGACTCTCAGACCATGAGAAACAAGATTATCTGGTCTGATGAAACCAAGAATGAACTCTTTGGCCTGAATGACAAGCGTCACGTCTGGAGAAAACCTGGCACCATCCCTACGATGAAGCATAGTGGTGGCAGCATCATGCTGTGGGGATGTTTTTCAGCGGCAGGGACTGGGAGACTAGTCATGATCAAGGGAAAGATGAACGGAGCAAAGTACAGAGAGATCCTTGATGAAAACCTGCTGCAGAGCACTCAGGACCTCGGACTGGGGCGAAGGTTCACCTTCCAACAGGACAACGACCCTAAGCACACAGCCAAGACAACACAGGAGTGGCTTCGGGACAAGTCTCTGAATGTCTTTGAGTGGCCCAGCCAGAGCCCGGACTTGAACCCAATCGAACATCTCTGGAGAGACCTGAAAATAGCTGTGCGGCGACGCTCCCCATCCAACCTGACAGAGCTCAGGACTCTATCAGAGAAGAATGGATCTGCAGAGAAGAATGGGAGAAACTCCCCAAATACAGGTGTGCCAAGGCTCGAGGCTGCAATCACTGCTAAGGTTCTTCAACAAAGTATTGCGTAAGCGATCTGAATACTTACGTAAATGTATATTTTTGTATATTTTTTATGTTTCTAAACATCTGTTTTTGCTTTGTCAATATGGGGTATTGCGTGTAGATTTATGAGGGAAAAAAACAATTTCATCCATTTTAGAACAATGCTGTAATGTAACAAAATGTGGAAAAAATGAAGGGGTCTGAATACTTTCCAAATGCACTGTAAACCTGTAGCTTGTCAAGAGCAATTGTGCCCATCACTGAATTGTATTTACAAAGTTGACTATATCTGAAGTATTGTGAATTTTATACGTAGTGATAACTCACCTTTGTTTACAGGTCATGTTGTACTAGGCCTTTCTTCAGTAAACTTTAAGGTGCATTTTCATGTAAATAGTTAATGGGTACATGTCAATTATTTGGTTTGAATCCTAAGCAACCTGCCTACTCATAGTTTGAAGTACAATACCAACATAGCTACTGTAGTAGGTCAAAGCTGTGTGCTGGAAAACCTTGGTACAGCATGGGTGGAATAGGCATTGTGGTGCTCATGTGAATTTCCGACAGACCAATGCATATTCTCACAGAATTTTTGTTTTGTTTTGTTTTAATAGTCCCAAGCTCTCGTAGTCTGGCCTATAGATCATCCATCATCATTAGGCCGTGCTTCGTCCATAGCCGTCTATTACCCAGTTCTGCTGCAAATATGGGTTTCCTTTACAGAGGAGCACAAAGTGATAGACTGGAATCATGAATCTCTGATATGATCATTCACCAACCATAAAACCTAGTTCCTGATAATGAAAGGGCTTTGGAGCGGTCATGTGATAGATCCAGCTCAGACCTGTATATTACCCCATGGATCTGACTGGGAGGATGACAGACTTGGAAGCTTGGAGTGGGAAGATTTGTTGAAGGCTTTCCTGGCCATTAACGCAGTTGTCTCCTCAGGTGCACAAGGCAATTGAGCAGAATATATGTCTGGTCTCAGCACTGTTTTCAATATCACCCCACTCACCCCTCATTTGTGCAAAATAAGCAATATGACTTAAACAGACAAGCGCTCCTTTGTCTTCGTCTTCCTCAGAAGAGTGAGGCTGGCTGTCAGAGGAGGGAAAGAACTCAGTGAATGAGGGAGAGTGTGAGGACTTTACTTTGATGGTGTTTGCGGTGCGTGGCCCACATGGAAATACAGCCTACAGGTTTGAGCTGTCTTCGCTCGGTGTAATGCTGCATATCCACATTTGCCAGGCTTACGAGATTTAAATACAGCAGAGCTTGTATAGGAACTTGCTAGGTTTTTCTTTAAGAAGCATATGAATGATGTTTTTTGCCAAAGTAAAATGAATGCTCAAAGAGAAAGAAATACAACCTGTGTTTGAAAATGAAACATTGAGTGTGGCCAGAGAAAGTGAGATAAGCTTGCCTTAAGCTATCCCGTTTGTACAGTAATTACACTTCTGTACAGAGCATGAAACTGTCTCTCAGAAGTGCACCTTCCAAATCAATATCTTCCAATTCACAGTCAGTACAGATGGATAGACTGCAGATGTGCTGTTATAGGAAAAGGGCTCCATCTAGTGTACCTATGATTCTGTTTTTATGATATAAGATATGAAGTTGAGGGCACTGATGTGTACAGTAGGCCTGCATTACATGTCTTTTTTTATATCACCACTGGGCTAGTGCTGGCCAAAAACTCAGTCTTGAAGACTTGAGAGATCTTTCATATTTAATCTGTTCCGTTTTCAAGAATGTCTGAATCATGAGGATAAAATACTAACATCCACTTAGCTCCTCTTTTCTGAATCCTGATTGGTCCATTTTGAGCAACTAAAAGGTGAGAGTACGGCCTCCCAGTGGGAACAGTACAACACAGTTAGTCATTCATTATCACTAACCAGACCATGTTAATCCTTCCTTTTCTTCAGTTCCTCTTTTCAAAAGCTTTCGGCACAGAATAGTGTTTCTCGCTTGTGTTATACCTCACAATGAACCAACATTATGCTTCTGGTAGTCTGCTCCATGTTTTTTTTTTATTCTGTGTACAACACAGGAGGTTGGTGGCACCTTAATTGGGTAGGACAGGCTTGTGGTAATGGCTGGAGCGGAATCAGTGGAATGGTATCAAATACATCAAACACATGGTTTTCATGTGTTTGATGCCATTCCATACGCTCCGTTCCAGCCATTATTATGAGCCGTCCTCCCCTTAGCTGCCTCCACTGGTGTACAATATATTGTAGGCCTATATCATTGTTGGCTTCTTTATTGGACTTTCCTGTCTATGCAAATAAAGGATATATATATATCTGTTATTTCCTTAAACACTTTACACGTTGATGTCGGTGATGCCTTGTATTATACTTAGCACATTGAGGCAATATTGACTTTACAGTGTAACCTGACTTTTAAAAGCACTTAATTTGTAATGTTTATTCCCTTTTTTCTACCTAATATTTTGGTGGGTGTGCGAGTGTGACTGTGTGTGCATGTGTGCGTGTGTGAACTGGTTAACTGTTAACAGTTGACTTTCACATGGACTGTGAATGTTCATTCTCATGATCACCTCTTTGAAGTCTACCATTTAGAATGTGAACAGAGGGACCTTTTGTTTTTGTTTGTTCCAAAAAGCCACATTAAAAAGGAAGTGGGTCACCAAAAGGCATTCACAAAGGTCAAAAAATATCTGCCTGTGTTTGATATTTAACATAATTACTTAAAAACAGATGTGTCTTTATACTGCAGAATGTGAGCTTTACTGTAGTCTCTTTAAAGGACAGAATCAGTCAGTCAGTGTCAGATAAATGATCATACACCCTGATAACTCCTGCTTCCATCTGCAGGCTTGTTAGTGGTTAATTATAAAATGATCATATAACAACAATATGATTATATTAATATTACACTGTAGGGAATCACCCACACAACTAGTCATGAATCAATGCTGAAAATGACCATCCATGTGGTGTAAAAGCCTAGTTGGTAATAATAGTCCATGCTCTGACCAATAGCTGAGGAGGTGGCAAAGCTTCCTATGGAATCTCCATGTATTCTCGTCTTCACTGAGTAGGGAGAGCGTGAGGAAACAGACTTAAGAATACATATCTTGTCATCTGTTCTAAAGAATAAAAAGTGTAGTTACTGTAGTTGAGGTTTTGACTGAGACTATCAAAATGAGAAGAAGCGCAAATAAAGGCCAATGACCCAAACTAATAAGTGTTGTTAATTATGGCCCTGTGCTGTGAAGGTGACAGATTTGAATTATGGTGTGAATCAACTCTGCATTTATCTGTGTGTTCAAACGAGGGTTTACAACCATTATATGAGAAGGTCAGTGACTCAAGAGCATAGTCTTACATCATACAGCACTGAGTGTGCACAAAAGCGATGCAATTGTTATTCTTTGGAGGTTGAGGACAGTAAGCTTTAGTGTGTGGTTAGAAACCTTTCCAGCCACACTCCTTCCTGGTTGTTAATCATCATGATGTAAAGTGGCATTGCATGTGGCTTCATATCAACTTTGTATGAAATTGTACACAAAAAAGCTATCTGGCAATACATCAGTCGTAATAAATTAGTAGAAAATAATGGATAAAAAAGGTACAAAGTAAACAAAACCTCTTCAAAAATATGTTAATTACAATCACATTGCTAAAGCAGTTACAAACCTTTTTGGATTAGTTAAAAATATGTCCTTCATTTGATTTGGCAACTGAATCAATTGGTACATACAGCAATCTGAATTATTCTTCCACATACAGTAAACAAACTTTTTTTTGCTGTAATAATGTGTGTCCAATAGGTTAACTGTCCAATAGGTTAGTCCTTCATGTTGATCTGTAGGCTCCAGACATTCTGTAGTTTAGTCAGGTCACTCTCACCCTCACTCTCCTCTGAGGATTGCCTCACTAACACACTGGGTAAGATCTCCACCTGCTCTGACTCCCTGTCCTTCTTCCTCGCTCCATCCACTTCTGGAATAGGCTTGGAGAGCAGAGGCATCTGGAGGATCCCTGTTGTAGGGCTCCAGTCAACACAGTTACCACCACCGAATCCATCCTCTTCCTCAGACTCCTGTGGAAACAGAGCTTGCCTCTGGCTTCTGAACAGGTTGACCTGGGCTAGCAGCAGGGGCTGAGTATCCCTATTGTTAGACTGCGTCTGGTACTTTGTTGTCACCATCTGCTGCTCTGGGGCTGCTCCCACGAAGCCATAGTCTGAGGGGTAACTTTGGGGCTCCTCAGCCTTGTCTCCCCACAGGTCCACAGTGGTCTCTCTGACTGAGAAGTGCTGAGGTGCGTAGGGACCCACCTGATCAGGCGCTTTGTAACTTGCGCTCTCCACCCCCAGCTTTATATCAGACAGCAGTGGCATTCTAAAGAGCCCTGTCTTGGGGTCCTTGTCTAAACAGATCCCAGTGAAAACATTATCCACAGGCTCCTGTGAACCTGGTGCACATCTCTGTGCAATGTACGGGTTGACCTGGCTGAGACGCAGGGGCAGGGTTTTCTCACTGTCAGATGCCTCCCTTTCCCTCACTTCCGGCATCTCTGGGGCCGCTCCAACGAAGACGTAGTCTAGAAGCTCTGGTTGGGCCTCACCGAACTCATCTTCCCATGATCCCTCCTTAGGAGGCTCTATGCCAGGGGCTTGCTGGGCAGTGTAGGGTAGTACGGGCTCCCCCTCTATTTGGTAGATCAGGGCAGGGATATTGTTGGGCTTTATGGCCATCAACTCCATGGGCTTGGCAATGTTGACCTGTACCACATTCATTTTCACAGCATGCTCAGGACAGAAGGTCTGCGGTGGGTACTGAATGTCCGATATTTCCTGAAAGACCAAAAAGGGTGACATCTTAGTAAATTGCACTTCATAGCCATTGTTGAAGGCTTCTATTAGTCACATATAATTCTTACCAGGAAAGGGGGACTTTTCTGTTTATTACCACAGACAAAGTGGTAGACAAGGCATCCGGCCAGGATCAGCGTGAAAATGGAGATAACTGATGGCACAACGGCTCCCATCAGCATCAGTAGCAGCTGGTCATAGAAGGGATCTGTAAAGACAGAGTGGTAGGGTAGAGATCAAACAAGACAGATCTATACAGTGTACAGCCATCATAGGAAGAGGAAAGCCTATAGGTTACAGCTGAGAACACACACACACCCCTTCAAACTTCAACATAATTCCATCTCTACCAGGAAGAGAAAATACCCTCTGGGAAAACACCTCAAGTCTCCTGTCACATTTACTGATAGAGAGAACAATTCTTGGAATGCTTTTGTGCTTTACCAAAACCTGTTGGGCAGGTTTATCCTGACAGACATTCATGCATGTAATAGAAGAAAAAAATCACTGCACACTAGGTTATTGGATAAACGCAAGTCTTATCTTACCCTTTGGGGTTGTTAGGCACTGCCATTCAGATCCATGCCAAGGTATAGGAAGTGATAGAACCTGGGAATTAGCAGAGACACAATACTGGGTTTCATAGGCAAGCAACCCATATTCAAAGGATCTGTTTTCCACAGTGAAGTGTTGCTGAAAGACAAAATGGATACAGAAAGTTAAAATACACAATATAGAACTAACCCTCATTATAATCTGCATTATAAAATAATTACCATGATATAAAAAATATTGAATTGTCTATTATAATCTATTAATGCAGCAATTTGCACTGATTAAAGCTCCTGCAGGGAGTCCTACATATTATGCAATTTAATTATTTACACAGAGTTACAGTAACCAACATAACACCAACCATTTTGTTGCTTCTGTTGTCGTACACAGACAGGCTGTATGTCATCTGAGGGTAGATTTTCAACAAGGAGTACTCTTTTGTCATGTTTCCAGTCTTCCATCTCATTGGACCCTTCAGCTTGACAGTAACACTATTCTCCTTCACCACAAGTTTTACAAGTGGAGGTCCAAAGGTTGCTGTTGGAGACAATAAACATTTCATATCATTCTCTGATTTTATCTTGAAGTAGTTCGCTATGGCTCCTCATTCATAGATAAGGAAAATTATATTTGAAGAGGATCTCAACTTACTGTCAGCTTTGGGGTCAAACCTCTTTTCTGTGAATGCCCATTTGGAGGATAGGTTTGTGCCCACAGCCTTGACCCTGGCAAAGTAGCCTTCATCCAGGTCAGTAGTCTCATTGGATAGATCACACCAGGTCTGAGGGATGTCTCTGCACTGCTTCTTCACCGTCCAGCGCACCTGTGTCACCCCACTATCCATTCTATCACCATAACTAGGAGACAACAAATAAACACATCATGAGATGTGTCCTTAAATCCATGGATCATGGGTATTTATTTACAATTATAAACTGGGTGTTTCGAGCACTGAATGCTGATTGTCTGAAAGCCATGGCATTTCAGACCGTATACCACAAGTCAAAACATGTATTTTTACTGCTCTAATTACGTTGGTAACCAGTATATAATAGCAATAAGGCACCTCAGGTATTTGTGGTATATTGCCAATATACCATGGCTAAGGGCTGTATCCAGGCACTCCGCATTGCGTTGTGCGTAAGAATAGCCCTTAGCCATGGTATTTTGGCCATATACCACACCCCCTCGGCCCTTATTGCTTAACTAGTTCATGGAAATATCAGTCTCTCGTGACAAAATTGAGGAGCTGATTTGGTTCTGGGTACCAAGATTATGGAAATGTATAAAAGTGTCCTCACATTGCATACTCCACTGTGTAATGTGTGTCATTTGGTGTGTCTTTCCCAGGATGCCACTTTACAATGTTCCTCAGGTTCACAGAGTTAAAATGAACTCCTTCAGGATGCCATACAACGGACCCATGTGAGACCACTAGGACAGGAGAAAGAGCAGAAAGTAGATGATCAACTGCCAAGGGCAATTCGAATTGTCAACTTGAGACACTTTCTAGAGAGCATCACTCCCTATAAACAATTCTAAAAATGAAATAGTATTATAGCGAAATTAAGATAATTAAATTACATCCTTCTTCCTTAACATACTGTAGAATGTCTTAAAGTTGAAGAGAAACATTGTATAGAATAACAACAGGATGTTGATGTGATTAAGGTTTACATTTACGTCATTTAGCAGACGCTCTTATCCAGAGCGACTTACAGTTAGTGAGTGCATACATTTTTTTCATACTGGAACCCCGTGGGAATCGGACCCACAACCCTGGCGTTGCAAGCGCCATGCTCTACCAACTGAGCTACACGGGGCCGTTGAGGGATAAGATATTTCATAAGCCGTCACAAAGAAACACTTATTTTCCCCTGACTGCACGAGACTACATTTGTTTTCTGTGTGTTTCAGAATATCACATGTGCTCAGTTAAACACGTCTTTCAAGGACATCTCATGATTATATTAACCCTATTCATTGCACCATAAATGTAATTGAGAGCTGCTTGTTTGTTTTTCTGTAAGCTTTGCGAACAGCCTTTTTGTTGTGATCAATGCCTCAACTTAGCATTAAGTGTTACATATGTCACTACTCAACTCTGTAACTATATATTTTTTTCGATATAGCACATACTGTACAAGGTTGGTGGAAAATACAGTAGAGGGAGTGAAAACAAAAGTAAAGCAAAGTAAATGCCACCCACATACGTGTTGCAGTTGGCTACAGCTGAAGGTGTGTTTGGGCGAGTTTTAAAATGACACAAAATTATTACATTGGTTGAACATGCTTAAAATGCATTTTTAACCCTCTACTGCACATCGTTGCACTCAGGCAACAGAAAACCTTTTTGCCCCTCACACGACAGGTAGCCTAGCGGTTAGAGCACTGGGCCCAGTAACTGAAAAGTCGCTGGTTTGAATACCTGAGCCGACAAGGTGAAAAATCTGTCAATGTGCCCTTGAGCAAGGCACTTAACCCTAATTTGCTCCAGGGACGCCGTACTACTATGGCTGACCCTGTAAAACAACACAATTTCACTGCACCTATCCGGACAGCGTATGTGACAATAAAAAATGTTTTTTTATGCATTTTTTTTTTTTTTTTACACATGACAATATATGATGACATGTCTGTAAACAATCCAATGAGGTGCAGAATTTGGTAGGATGTATCAGTTAGGGCAGGAAGCAGAGTGAAGTGAGAGCATTGTGTGAGCAAAGGGTCAGATACATTTAATTATTTTGCATGTTTAAATAGAGATATGTACCTGTGTAGGGACCTCTAAAGAAGCATATTTGATAGGTTTTGAACATATTTTGTTTTTATATATTTTAAAAAAAAAGTTGTATTTGTGTTGCCTCAGGGCAACGTTGTGCAATTAGGCTACTTTTCAGGGCAATGAAAGACATGTAAAATTATGTTAAATGATGGCCTTGGTCAATGTTTTTGCCAACATATCCACTGACATTGACAGGCAATTGAGCAGTTAGGATCATACCCTCTGATAGTGAGGACTGTGAGCTTTAGGACAGTGACAGTGAAGAAGAATAGACCACAGAATCAGGTTTGAGAGGCAGTGAATATTACTAGCTTATGTCCAACTTGTATTTTCTCATCAAGAGTTCTTGTTTCTACTATATCTAACTTAATAAATGTTCTGAAAATATCAGATTTTCCTTATGGCACAGCATTGCGCCATAAATGTCTGGGTGTTGGGGGTAATTTTATTTATTTATTTTTTAATGATTGATACATTATCAGAAAGCCTAAATCTTCCCCCAAAAAGCTGTGCAGTAGAGGGTTAGGGGAGAAAATGGGAATCTTAAATTATACACAACATGTGGCTTCCAAATTCATCAATGACAGCTGAACAATGACAGCTGAACTATAGCTTGACTGAAAATAATAAATTGTAGTAGCAAAATATTGAGTTCAAGGCATAATTAAACTTGCCAGTGGTTCAATATGTGATAAGATGTAAACTGCACTGCTTACCACAATAGTAAACCTTTTCCTTTTAATTACTGATTATGATACGCAGTCAATGAAAATGAAGCCTACCTGCCGTCCATAGATAAATAATGAAGAGATATTTGACCATTCTTTCCCGTAGCATTGGTAAAAAGATATATATAATATTAAGCTCATGGACATTTCAACCAATATGCTACAGTAAATTATTCAGTTCGAGGAGCTCCTTCAGTGTCTTTCATGTTGTTATCTGCTTTACATTACCGTGGCCAGGTAGCCTAGTAGTCAATACTCACGTGAAATGGGCGGAGTTATTTACAGTAAGCGAGGAGGAATTTAGAATTTAGAAACACGCTCCTGTGAATGTGGGAACAAACTTGGCCTGGTGTGGTGAGATAACTCGATCTGTGATACAACTATGCGTGCCCTTATTTCAAAGAGCGCTCCATAAGCCACGCCCCAGTTGGCAGAGCTAGGCATTCTTCTTCTTCTTCTGTGGGACTACAACCCAAAAAGGTGCATTGCCGCCACCAACTGGACGGGTTGAAACCAAAACAAGAAAAAAATAAAATCCATACGTGATAGGGAAACTAACTTAATCCATCCAAATAAAATTATATATTGACAAAAAAAACCTCCCACTTCTTTCTTTTTTCAATTCTCCATATCTCCCTTCTCAGGCTCTAGGGAAAGAGAGGGTGGTACGGCTTGTGACAATATTCCATGTAACACCAAGAAATCTTTCAGCCCCAGGAACCGCTCCGCCGCTTCCACAATGATTTCTATCTTCCTGGACCTTCTCTCCACCTTGGCAGTGCCATTTATCACCATAGCTATAAAGGCCACAAATTCCACCTTCTTAACCTTTAAAATGTCAGGATCCTGCTGGTGAAAGGCAACCACTGCAGCCTGCACTGAAGACCTATCCACCACCATGGACTCTTCAAGAGCACGATTCAAACCCTCAACCTTTTTAACAGCTGCTGTATATGATATGCTCTGGATAGCCCTGACTTTGGCCACGTCATTCTCCTTCACCCTTGTGGGGCATTCGAAAGATGATGGCTTCATGATTCCCACCACAATTGCAACATGTCAAATCAAATCAAATCAAATTGTATTGGCCACATGCGCCGAATACAACAGCTGCAGACATTACAGTGAAATGCTTACTTACAGCCCTTAACCAACAGTGCATTTATTTTTAATAAAAAAGTAGAATAAAACAACAAAAAAGTGTTGAGAAAAAAAGAGCAGAAGTAAAATAAAATAACAGTAGGGAGGCTATATATACAAGGGGGTACCAGTGCAGAGTCAATGTGCGGGGGACAGCGGCTAGTTGAGGTTGTTGAAGTAATATGTACATGTGGGTAGAGTTTAAGTGACTATGCATAAATAGTTAACAGAGTAGCAGCAGCGTAAAAAGATGGGGTGGGGGGGCAGTGCAATTAGTCCGGGTAGCCATGATTAGCTGTTCAGGAGTCTTATGGCTTGGTGGTAGAAGCTGTTGAGAAGTCCTCTGTAGCTCAGCTGGTAGAGCACGGCGCTTGTAACGCCAAGGTAGTGGGTTCGATCCCCGGGACCACCCATACACAAAAATGTATGCACGCACGACTGTAAGTCGCTTTGGATAAAAGCGTCTGCTAAATGGCATATTATTTTTTTATATTATAAGTCTTTTGGACCTAGACTTGGCATTCCGGTACCGCTTGCCGTGCGGTAGCAGAGAGAACAGTCTATGACGGGTGGCTGGAGTCTTTTACAATTTTGAGGGCCTTCCTCTGACACCGCCTGGTATAGAGGTCCAGGATTGCAGGAAGCTTGGCGCCAGTGATGTACTGGGCCGTACGCTCTACCCTCTGTAGTGCTTTGCGGTCGGAGGCCAAGCAGTTGCCATACCAGGCGATGATGCAACCAGTCAGGATGCTCTCGATGGTGCAGCTGTATAATTTTTTGAGGATCTGAGGACCCATGCCAAATCTTTTCAGTCTCCTGAGGGGGAATAGGCTTTGTCATGCCCTCTTCACGACTGTCTTGGTGTGTTTGGACCATGATAGTTCGTTGGTGATGTGGACACCAAGGAACTTGAAGCTCTCAACCTGTTCCACTACAGCCCCGTCGATGAGAATGGGGGCGTGCTCAGTCCTTTTTTTTTCTCCTGTAGTCCACAATCATCTCCTTTGTCTTGGTCACGTTGAGGGAGAGATTGTTATCCTGGCACCACACGGCCAGGTCTCTGACCTCCTCCCTATAGGCTGTCTCATCATTGTCGGTGATCAGGCCTACCACTGTTGTGTCGTAGGCAAACTTAATGATGGTGTTGGAGTCGTGCCTGGCCATGCAGTCATGGGTGAACAGGGAGTACAGGAGGGGACTGAGCACGCACCCCTGAGGGGCCCCCGTGTTAAGGATCAGTGTGGCAGATTTGTTGTTACCTACCCTTACCACCTGGGGGCAGCCCGTCAGGAAGTCCAGGATCCAGTTGCAGAGGGAGGTGTTTAGTCCCAGGATCCTTCGCTTAGTGATGAGCTTTGAGGGCACAATGGTGTTGAATGCTGAGCTATAGTCAATGAATAGCATTCTCACGTAGGTGTTCCTCTTGTCCAGGTGGGAAAGGGCAGTGTGGAGTGCAATAGAGATTGCATCATCTGTGGATCTGTTGGGGCGGTATGCAAATTGGAGTAGGTCTAGGGTTTCTGGAATAATGGTGTTGATGTGAGCCATGACCAGCCTTTCAAAGCACTTCATGGCTACAGACGTCAGTGCTACGGGTCTGTAGTCATTTAGGCAGGTTATCTTAGAGTCCTTGGGCATGGGGACTATGGTGGTCTGCTTGAAACATGTTGGTATTACAGACTCAGTCAGGGACATGTTGAAAATGTCAGTGAAGACACTTGCCAGTTGGTCAGCACATGCTCGGAGTACACGTCCTGGTAATCCGTCTGGCCCTGCGGCCTTGTGAATGTTGACCTGTTTAAAAGTCTTACTCACATCGGCTATGGAGAGCGTGATCACATAATCATCCAGAACAGCTGGTGCTCTCATGCATGCTTCAGTTTTGCTTACCTCGAAGCGAGCATAGAAGTGGTTTAGCTCGTCTGGAAGTCTTGTGTCACTGGGCAGCTCGCGGCTGTGCTTCCCTTTGTAGTCTGTAATAGTTTTCAAGCCCTGCCACATCCGACGAGCGTCAGAGCCGGTGCAGTACGATTCAATCTTAGTCCTGTATTGACTCTTTGCCTGTTTGATGGTTCGTCGGAGGGCATAGCGGGATTTCTTATAAGCGTCCGGGTTAGAGTCCCGCTCCTTGAAAGCGGCAGCTCTACCCTTTAGCTCAGTGCAGATGTTTCCTGTAATCCATGGCTTCTGGTTGGGGTATGTACGTACGGTCACTGTGGGGACGACATCATCGATGCACTTATTGATGAAGCCAGTGACTGATGTGGTGTACTCCTCAATGCTATCTGAAGAATCCCGGAACATGTTCCAGTCTGTGCTGGCAAAACAGTCCTGTAGCTTAGCATCTGCGTCATCTGACCACTTTTTTATTAACCGAGTCACTGGTGCTTCCTGCTTTAGTTTTTGCTTATAAGCAGGATTAAGGAGGATAGAGTTATGGTCAGATTTGCCAAATGGAGGGCGAGGGAGAGCTTTGTATGCGTCTCTGTGTGTGGAGTAAAGGTGGACTAGAGTTTTTTTTTCCTCTGGTTGCACATTTAACATGCTGGTAGAAATTAGGTAGAACGGATTTAAGTTTCCCTGCATTAAAGTCCCCGACCACTAGGAGCGCTGCCTCTGGATGAGCGTTTTCCTGTTGACTTATGGCCTTATACAGCTCATTCAGTGCAATCTTTAATGCCAGCATTGGTTTGTGGTGGTAAATAGACAGCTATGAAAAATATAGATGAAAACTCTCACATTTTCATCACTTTTATAACACATAATATGATCTTTTCCACAACTTGGATATCTCGGCTTCTCCCTTCTGCAAACACTTGAAACATGTCCAAAAGCTTTACAATGATCACACTGCATTGGTCTTGGGATAAATGCTCTGACTCTGTAGGTAATATACCCTAACTGCACTTGAGTAGGGAGAGACTCCAAATCAAAAAACAAAAGAACAGATAGACTTCACCTTTTCTTCATTCACCATACGATTCATTCGACGTGCATCAATCACTCCAGGAATATTTTTCATCTCTTCAACATGTACTTCCCACGAGACTCCAGACATAACCCCCTTGAGGGGTGCCCTGTTCCTAAGAGACACACACGACACTTCAAACTTATCAAAAAGGTTGAGACACAACACACGTTTCTTCTGATCCTCAGAAGCACAAAAAATCTAAACCAGTCCAACTCTCGTGATCCTCACAGTCTTCACTCTACCCAGCACTCTCTCCACCAGTTTGGATATCTCAAATGGATTCCTCAAGATTGGTAATTCGATCAGCTGCTCCTCATTTACAAACTGTACTCCTACAAGATACGAAGTGACATTCTCATCACTGTACTCTACTTTGCTCTGTTTTCCTTTCTTTTAATAATATTCCAATTATCCTTGATTCTACCGCCATTAGATTCAGAATCCACTTCATAATCCGCTTCCGCCACACCTTTTCCGTCTGACCTCGCACTCGCTGCAATCAGAAAATCCCAGAGCTAGTCATGTTGGACTGGGTCACATTTTAATTATTTAGAGTAAGACATTGGGGGGCGCTAAACTGACATATGGAATTGTTTAAAGATGGTCATACTATGGATCATTTAGCTATTTTATTTATTTTAGGACCCCTTTAGGTATCAATAAGTACAATAAAAAATAAAATAATAAGAAACAAGGTTTTGAAGTGTCTGTCCTAAATCTAGGAGATTATCTTGTATTAAAACAAATTACACATAATTAGCCCCTTTTTGGGGGTAGGCGCAAAACTACCTTCAATCTTCCATTCCTTTTTTAAAACCGGTACCGGTTACCTTCAGATGAGTACCCTGGGGTGAAGAGCAAAACGGAGAACACCATCATGTTCGTAAGAGTCTCCTCTTTCCATAGGTTTTAATAAGATAAAATATCTCATTTTACAATGGGTCCGCCTTGGTTCTGTGTAGCCTAGTTATGCTAATATAGGCTATGTGAGACCAATCTATTGCAGTTAATTTAGTCTTTGA